TTGCAGCAGTACTTCCCGCCATCGCGCGGAGCGGACGGTATCAAATCGTCATCAAGATCTTTGCTTGTTTGAAGAGACTTTCATGCCATGTCATAGATATCCTCAGTGCTTCTCGTGCACCCAAGGGGGGACACCACACACTAGACACGACATGCAATTACTAGTTTTTAGACTTTATCTTGTATATTAGCAGCTAACAGAGGCACAACTACACTTCTTTAGTTACGAAAATACAACTATACAACACTAGTAAATTCTTCTTCCCTTAGCCGTGCTGAAGAGATGCTTCGACATCCTCGTAATAATGTCTTCATACACTCCATTAACCGTACAGCAGTTGCATGGTGTTGGTCGTTAGAGGCCACAATGCCATACCCGCAGCTTCTCCGCGCGCGTTGTCGGGAGGCGGGTCTGCATCTTGGAGAAGGTTGGGAGGCTCACGATATAGTTGCGCTAGTACTTGTGGTCTCCATAGCGAGTCTTGTGTTTCTCATATGCTGGGCTGCCCTAAGATCGGACGTTTCAGCTGCAGCAGGCGTGGGTGGGTACATGGTTGGTACATTCAGCCTGCTCATCGCTATGGTGGTATTCGGGGTTCAGTAATAATGCATCACAAAGAGCGCATCGAAGATTACGTTTTCAATCCACGCTTGCATCACAACCCAGCCGGACAACGACTTCTGATAGCTAACACACGTAGACACTTTAGACACGCAACTGTCGTCTTCCAGAACTAGCGGCAACGCGATCTCACCTAAGCCGCGACAACAGACACTCGGTGTGCCTTCCTCAGAGTTGTGCTCATCACTATTTGCTTACCGACACCAAGATAGCAGGCGCATGGTGTGCATCAGCATGAATGTCTGTTTTTGCGAAGTCGCATTAGTTCGATGCGACAAGATTGGAAAGATACAGGCGGATGGTCTCACCAACAGGGAATAAGTTGAAATTACAATAGGATGAAGAGAAAGGCGATATACCATTTCCAGGATGGATGCCGCAACCATTTGAGCCGTATTGAGGTGAAAGCTATCCTTGAGATCTGACTGAAGATCAACAATAACGATGTTGTCAACAGCAAGCGAGCCGCATCTGCCGCATTTTGGGGTTGGCTCTTGGAGGCACTACACCGAAGAGAGAAATCAAACACCTCTTAGGGCATAGTACTTCTTCCTACTACTACAAAGCGAATCAGACCTATATAGATATAGATAGAAAGCCTAGAAGACTACAATGCTAGTAATCTTTGTAAGTTTCCTGATTAGGAGACAATGTAGACTGCACACACCATGCACATACTCAGGAACTTGCAAACATTGATTGGAGATTGCACCGAACATCATGCGATGCAACAAGATTTGTGATTGATTTGAGGAATTATTTACATGATGCTCATCCTAGCTTCGCCTCTAATGAGGTTACTGAACCCCAGCACCGACGGTAAGGTGTGAGCATATCGCTGAGGAAGGCGAGCCCCCGAGGAATCACCCAACAGGAACCCACCCCCACTACCTGGACGTAGTGTCATCAATCCAACTCAGGGAATGGACTGGAGTTTGCCTGTTTCCGTTCTCTCGCCAGGACTGCGGCTTGAGCATTCAAGTAAACCTGAAAGGAGACTGGCCTGAGCCAGCTCTGGAACCGCGGGTCACCATTCGATTTCCGGAGTTCAGTCAAGATCTCGAGAAGAACGGGCGTTGCTGGCTCCCGTTTTTCCGTCATAAACCCGTCGACAGCTTGGCAAGTCTCGTGAACTTTCGTCGCCAGCGCTTGAAAGTCGGTCGTTAACTGCCGAAGAGTCTGCGTAGTCTCAGCAAGAAACTGCCCCGGAGCGGTTAATGCCTTCCTCAACTCCGCGACGTCGTCTCGTACTACCCGGAGGCCGCCTGACTCTCCTATGGTCCTGAGGACGTCCAGGATATGGTCGAGGCGTGTTGTTGAAGGATCACGTCTGCGAAACGTGGTGTAAAACGCGAGGAGACAAGCAAATATAGAAGAAAGGACCCCGACTAGCGTCCAGGCTACCGGGAACCAGAAGGCAAAGGACGCGTCCTGGGCGATCGAATCAGTGGAAGAAGCTTTGCTCGAATTCATGGCAGAATCTCGCGAATAGGTCACAGTCCTGAGGAGAGAAGAGAAAAGCAGCTGGCGAAGGCCGGGCATCGCTTTTGAGGTGGCAGCTTGGGACTGCAGTTGCCCTTCCTGTTGTCGTACGATTTATCTGACGGCAGGAGAGCATGCTACCTTGGCAGGCAGGTACAGTTGTGCCTTAACGAGGGGAGGTGTGTCTAAGGTGGCAAGCAGGTGCAATTGCATTCAGACGCGGGCAGTCGCGGTGCAGAAGATTGCGAAAGTGACAACTGCACATTGTTATTCAAGAAGTTGGAGAGAACTGGAAATGGCATATGTAATTGAAAGGTATTTCTTTTAGCTAGACGTGAGAAGTTGTCGTCCCAATAATTAACAAGCGAATACACTGCAAATGTCGGAGTCCCACCATCATCTGGCTCTAATCCATACGCTAAGTGAACAAAGAAGCGCTCATTCTCTCTGTAACTTATAGTAAATCATAAGACAAGACAGTCAAAAAGAGCGCGATGTCTTTTCATGTTCTTCTCGTATCAATAACACGGGTCGCAGTACCATGGTTGGAGTGGTTACGAACCACGGGATAGCTTCGCGATGCGCACTCAACTATATATATTGCAGATGACGACGAAACCTGAACGTTCTTCTAGTTATCACTGAAGCCTACGTCGTCATCAAGCAAACACCTTACTCAGTCAACGTTCTCCTTCCAGTCTTTGAAGTTAGCCACGCCTGCGCATCAGGATGGCGCTGGCGATCCAGATCCAGAATCTACGCCACACTGGGAGCTCCGAACACCAGATCCGCCTGGTAAACCCAGTCATGGTCGCCCAGGAAGCTATTGAAAGCTTAGCAAGATCTTTTCGACAAATGCGCGATCCGTCAGGTCGGTGTACCCTCAATTTCCCCCTAGAGATAATCTTGATGATTGCAACACATCTCGATGCATGCTCTCTGGTGTCCTTTGCGTTAACCTGTAAGAGTCTTCACAGTCTCTGGGAACCACGCAATCTTCCCCTGCAACTGGCAGAGAAAGAAAAGCTCTTACTTTTGCTCGAGAAAGACATCCCATTCCTTTATTATTGTCATCATTGTACGAAGCTGCATCGTTGGCATAGACGCTGGAGTAGAGCCATCATTCCGTGCAATGAAGAGAGTCTACCATGCAAGCGAAGTTTGGACAAGCACCTCTGGCTTCCACTTACATGCCACATCCCTTACCACCATACGCGCTTGGTCATGAACCGACACCTCTACGGCTCCAACCACGGCTTGCCCCTTCGCGTACTCAATCAACGAACCCGATCCTCTCATTACCCGAACGGAGTGGTAACCTCGGTGACCCAGCATGCACGCATTTTCAATGATCACCTTCTGGTATTGTCGGCAATATCAATGACGCATTCGCGAGGTGATTCGGTATCCCTCAGAAGACACATCGACGATTTCGGTCACTCGCTTTGCAGACATGTCACACTTTGGCGAGATTTGCCCGATAGCTTCCCCATGCAGCTTCCCGAGCTGGCCAAAAGAACCGGACATAGCCAATTCGTGGCTTCTGGACCTGCATTTGGATCGTGCACTCTTTGTCCAACAGACTATACCATCACAATACAATGGCAAGGTCCGAAAAAAGGGTTCAACATCGAGGTTCGCGTCTATCGCGGTCTGGGTAGCTGTCGCACGCCGTTCAGTTGGCATTGGCGTACAAATACATGGCTCTATCCACGTGAAGAGCTCAGGTCAGTGTATTCGCCAGATTGCAGACCTCGAAGTATCAGAGAACAATGGGACGAGGCTGGCGACATGGCATAATCCATTGACGGCACATGGATGAATATCACATGATGAATAAATCTCTGTAACGAGGACTCGAGACACACGTCCCTCGAAGGAACAGAGTACACGTTAAACCTGCTTATAAGGCGCGCCTCGCTCCACAGAGCGAGGTAAGGATTATTCTCTTTACAACCTACACCTGTAGTCTGAATATACGAGCTATCTCCCACTATCCTTAGTAACGTGAAGCAAGCACTATTGCCTACAGTTACGCCTCACAATCTCACGCCTGCGGTATATCCTGTTTCCGAGTACCCTTGTATATGGGTTGATATGCGTTCTATGTCGTATAGGTGGCTCACTGTTCGCTCAACGTAAGGAAGGCGACTTACGTACGTCATCTAAAATTTCTGTGCTATATAACCAAATGCAGAAAAAAAAATAACCAGATGCAGGCTTTGGCAGAAGGACTGTCGCGAATATACATAACTTGTATGTTGAAGCGTGGCTTTTCGGCGATAGATTAATGCGTCAAAGTAGGGCGGATGCAGTTAGATACCTAGGTACCTTTCGGAATTAGAAATCACAGTTGTGCATGTGCTACCTGGCGACCCTGGCCGACCAAGCATTCTTTGATCTTTCGAATAATGATATTCACGATGATCGGAAACATGTACTCACATTTGCAACCATCGAATCTTTCAACATATCTGATCAAGCCTTGCGTAGTAGTTGACGTGAGGCGAGCGGTGACACAAATCACGTGCAAGGCTGAGCGCGGTTGCCGCTGTGGCTTGCCAAGCTCCGATACATATCCTTCAGCCTGATGCGCAATGTGATTGTCTCGTGCAGCTTAGAAACACTGTGAACGAGAATTTCTGTTCCCTCCTGGTACACACTATAGCACAGAAGTATGTCATACTATTATTACTGTCAAAGCTGCGGCGATGGGCCGCATAACAAAGCACTCAATCCGTATTGTCCTAATTGCCATTGGTGGCAAGAAGAAGAAGGAGGAAGGAGAGGAGGAGGAGGAGGAGGAATGTCGTCATCGCCATCACCGGGAGCCTTCGATGCGGAAACGCTACCGTCTCCGATACCGTGGAATACAACCAACGATACTTCAACTGCAAATGTCGTGGAGAACAGCTACCACAGCAGCATGCCTTCATCGCACTCTGCCAGCACGAAAGAAGAAGACTATGCCTACATAGACCCATCCATCATGAAGCGGCATACAGAGTCAGCCTGGGATCGCCTAACAGACAAAGCAGAACATCGCGAGGAGACCACCCGTGCGATCTACCCGATAGAGAACGATTCAGTAAATCAAGAGAAAATCACGGCTGATTGTGCTGAGCCTCTACCCGACTCAAGTCAAAACCCGCGTGAGGAGACCTATAGTCAGGATTGGCAGGCTTCTGCTGAGAATAACCAGACACCAGAACCAGGTCTTTACACCGCTCCACTTGACGCTTCAGGTCTCCGAAGAGCCCTTGACTTGGAAAGTTCCGGCCAAGCCCCTCCCCAGCCTGAACTGCAGACCCTGGAGCAAGCAATATCAGAAGACGACCAAGATGATGGGTCTGCCTCAGACATAACATCCAACACTGCAGACTCTGTGTTCTCTGCAGAATCCTCAGATACTCTCGCAACAGCCTTCTCTGCAGATAGCGGGTTTTCGGCTCAACAGATTCAAAGCGCTACCCGTGTGTTTCTCGCAATCTTACAAGAGAACAAAGAATTGACGCTCCTGTGTGATTCTGCTCGCAGCAATAAGAAGACTGGGATTAAGAGATTGCGAAGAGAAATTCGCGAGAATTTGAAAGCATATGCGGAGAACCTCAAGGAAGAAGCGTACGACCATCTTGAGTTTGCGGCTTGCCGTCTCGTTCGAGTAAAAGCACGGTACGTTGCTCAATACATCGCCAGTGGAGATGACAGATACAAACAGTCGCAATATCCTATCAATGATCGCAACCGGACGACAAAGCTCCTTGAGGATAGCTCCGACGAAGAGCCCGCAGAACCATCAGTTGACGAGACGGAGTTTCGTGATCTGAAAGCTTTTCGGCAGTTTTTGACGACAAGTGCTGCGTATGCTAAATTGGAAGCTCAAATTCATCTTTGGTACGAGGCGTTGCGTAACAAGCCTGCTGCTGGCGGGCTGAAGGATTCGCCGTCCATGACTAGCCCCTCACAACTTTCGCAATCCATGGCAGATACTTCCGAAGAAAAACTCCCGAACAGGAACCATGGCACACCTCTCCAGCTAACACCTGCGACTGGGTGCAACACAAAACTTACATGGCATATTTGGCAGGAAGATGCATCGAATCTAGCAGCTAGCGTTCTACAAGGCTTCAACTTGGCTTTCTTGCGAAAAGCCGTGTTGTTCCTGCTCGTGGATATCGTATTGATTTTGACTGATGACGTCTTTATCGCCACAGGATGCTTGGAACCTCGACTGAAAGCTGGTTGGACTCGGATAAGAAGTGAATGTGTGGGTTTGTCTCTAGACATATTCTCAGATTGAACGTAACTGACCTCGACTGCAGAGCTGTGGTGACCGATTCTTCGACGATTTCAATGAGCTAAGAACGGGTGGCGTGGGGACGTTGGTACAAGAGATGAAGCAATCCTTGGTCGATGCCAAGATCAAGGTTATCCCATATCGCGCCGGTCTTAGGACACAGCAGTACACGGATCGACTTTCGATGTGGTTGCGTCATATTGGTAACAGGATTTCGGCAGCATGCTCATGGCATGGTCAGACCCCTACAGCCCTACCACACTTCAATGTCGCCGACACAGCTACTGCAACAGATATCACAGCTCCAGAAGACCCACAGAAAGATCGAGATCCAGTTCACCTAATGGCTTGCGTGGATCGCATTCGCGACGGACCAGTCTTACTTCAGATCGACGTTCGCGCTGTCAAGAACGACCAAGAACTCTTCAGCCGTCTCAAGCACCAAATAGCTCAACACCGTAACCGTTATTTGCGTGTTTTATCGTGCCGTAGCATACAAGGAATCTTCTTCTGCAAGGTTAGTGAACTCGTCGTAATCGGCCACGCGGGGTAAAAGCTCACTTCGGTTCAGTTCTGTCTCCACAGCCATAGTCACATCGATATCCGTGACCACAATGAGTCTTGTCCTCCCGTAGGATCTACAACGAGCCATTGTGACTGCTTACCGCCAGTACATATAGTGGAGCCTTTTCCCAACGCGGAGTACCGCTGCAACATTCCTTGCCCTCCAGATACTTGGCCGCCTGTCGGCTCGAGTATGTTAGTTCACATGCTCAAATGCCCATCAGCGATTAACGTGAATCGTACCTGGGTCATGCACAGAGTACCTAAACGTGTCAAGGGAGAATTATCAGATTATGGTGACCAACCAGCTGACGGATGGGGTTTCTACTTCAAAAATGGCTGGGATTTTGATACAATAATCACCATTAGCTTTGTCGTCCTCATGTTAGCGAGTTTGCTTTTTGGGATTTGTTGGTCTGTATTGGAGAAAGACATCCAGGGCGCATTTGGAGTGAGCGCGTACATAGTAACTGTCTGTGGATTGCTCGTTGCTTTCATTGTGAGCAAGACGGGAAAGGCGGGCTGACCGGATGGGTGCTTATTTGCAACAAGTCTAGCAAAACAAGGTACTTTAGTAGTACCACAATAGTAGGCGGTATGCAAGCCGGCACTAGCGCTTCTCCAAGCAGACGCTATTCTAACGTTCGCTTCGTTTGAGTTATAAGTAAATGTATGTTACCATTTTGAACTCAGAAGCAATGGTGGTTGAATGCTGGATGCACCAAAAGTAGACGCGCTATTGGAGACAGGGCCAATGACGGCACGTCATGTCCCCATGCCACAACAGTGACAACACTCTCATCCTATGCATAAGCATACTATGGACAACCGCTTATTGTCACGTATTCACGTCATCATCAAAACTGGCAAGCCTAGAGTCTTCCTCAATACTTGGTCGAGCTTCATCTCGATTGACGGACAAGGCTGGCCCCCAAAAGAACCTTGCGGTGGACGTTGCACAACGCTTTTGCGTCATCTTTTTGAATATCTTGTCATACGATTTGCTATACACTACAGAGAGCATGAGCGCTTCTTTGTTCATATGGTGAATAGGAATTAAAGTATGTAAGATATCTAAACTCTATTATCCTATATCAGCCAAAAATGGCTCTCGAACTAGAAAATTGCGTACATACACAGCTCCAAGGTCTATCGTGTCTCGATTCGTGACTGGATTAGCCAGCCATTGTTCCATCATCATCCATCCTACAACTAGATAGGCGGGTGAAAAACAGGTATTTAGTGGCTGTTCCAGCCAGTTCCTTACGAGAAAGATATTCGTTAGGCGTTCTATTGACGCATTGAGGACCTGGTCAGGTGAGGCAGCTTTTGGGTCTTGCGTAGGATATCCTAGAACCAGTTTCTCATGTCATCAACCTCTACCGTTTTGATGATATTGCTTAGCTCATGATATATGGAAACCAATTACAGTTTTATGTCCAGAGGACTAGAGTCTGCCTCAAGCAGATGCGAAAGAGCTGAAAGAGGGTGCAAGACCAATGATGTCGTGAAATATTAAGCGCTCAGCACCAGTGAAGCGCGACTGCATGTCAACAGCCATTCAAGCAATTGTTATCTTGACGAGTACATGCCGACGTGATCAGCTGTTAAAGCACCATGGAATATCACATCGAATGATATGGCGTGACTTGCCTGGCCTGAGGAAGCTGACGATCACTTTGTGCCGCGCTGGCGCACTCAGCGTTATTGATTAGTTGAGTTGTCACCATGTCGAACTACTGAGAAGGAACGGGGGCTGAAGGCTGAAACTCATGAATCTAGAAGCGCCACTAGAAACAAAACAAACGATCTATGTCACGTTACCATGTCACAACGCCCATCTTAAGCTTTTACTGGTCAACCTGAAATAATCCCGTATACACCTGCAGGATCCGAGATCTCTCTCTAAGAAGGTATGGTGAAGTTTACGGGGTTTCTACATAGGCAAGATCAATATGTTCAACTAAGAAGCTACTCGCTTGATGAGCAGCCCCGACCATGTAACAACCGGTTTAGCGCGCACAGCTGACCGTGTGCGATCCAATTTCCGTGGATCTTGTGCTGAGTTCAGCTGTGGAACTGTTGGGTTCGAGACCTTATGGTAGCTCTGACCTGCCCCACCATGGCGTCGGCCGTATCGTGTGTACCCCAGCGATAAAGAGGGACCTGTGCAACATGCAATCCTCACGGAAGCACAAAGAATTGCGAACAAACGTCTTGCATACTTGAAATCATACACTCATAATACCTAAGTCAGACTTCTCTTAGTGCGATTCATACATTGAACTAGAACATCTAAGCTCCTATATAACTGGAGTTGCATATCGATTGTATTATCACCGGCACAGCCAAGGAAATTTGACACTGAGCAACCGGGGTCGTTCGAACGGCCATGGCGATATACTCCCCGCTCAATATAGACACCGAAGAGATCCGCCTGCTGGAGCTGCAACCTGCGGAGAAGCCTGAAATGCCGCTCTGCGGTATCCTTCGGCACGTCTCGCTCGCATCTTCACCCGCGAGACCGATTTTAGCATACGACGCGATATCGTATGTCTGGGGAAAACCTGATTTCGATAAAAACATGTTCGTCGCCGACCAAGCTCTCCCAATCACATCGCGGGTAGAGCACATGTTATCCACGCTCCGGTACAAGAGCAAAGCAAGGGTTCTCTGGATCGACAGTATCTGCATCGATCAGTCAAACATACATGAGCGAGGTCAGCAGATCCTGTTGATGCGTAAAATCTATAGCAAAGGTCAGCGCAATATAGCTTGCGTTACTCATTCTGGCAGATGGGGAATAACGGATCAGGGTATACAGAGCGGTATGGAAATTCTGAAGAAGATTTGCAACAGTGACAGTGCGACGCTCGCATCCTTTCGTAGAGAAAACGAACGATTGTTTGGAGATGAAAGGGAACTGTTAAGAGGCGGAAAGAACAACCCTAACCTAGTGCTGGATGTCGATGCAAGAGATGCATTGTTCTCGTTCTTAATGGCATTAGATGAAGGCATCTGGGGAAGGATCTGGATTGTTCAGGAGTTTTCATTGGCAAAGAAAGTTACTTTGAGGTGCGAGGACGCTGAACTGGACTGGGATCTTGTCTCATCCTTTCTGCGGGATGAGCCTTACTTCGACGCTTTCCACATGCCTGGTGATGCCCGAATCGGTCGAAATCAGTTTCCGGAAATTTTCTCACGCGCCAAACTCTTCGAGGATCAGCGGACAGTGACACAACGGGCCTTGACATCACAATATCAAGAAAAAGCTACAGGCTCAGATCTGCTAGAAATTCTCGCGCGTTTCAGAGACATGGAGTCCTCTGATCCAAGGGACAAGGTTTTTGGACTTCTAGGCTTGGTGGATGGACCGCATCATGTGGATGTTGAATATTCGAAAAGCGTGCTGCAGATTTGGACGGAAACCACCCTGTCCATCATCAAATGCTCCAAGAATCTGGACATAATCTGCCAAAATCCTTTCGAAAGCATTTGCACCAGGGGTAATGGAAAAGAAGCCGATCAAAGATCTTCTTGGGTCCCAGATTTCTGTCTTCATCAGTCTGAGTGTCTTTCGGTCCTGTTCGCTCAACGGGGTATCTTCAACGCTGGGTCAAAAACTATGGATACCCCCTGCACAATCGCCGATGGAAAGAGTGAGATACTGGTACTCAAGAGTGTTGTTCTAGATCGCATTGGTCCACTCCTGAGGCCATCAGAACAAGAGCTGGATGAATTGCCGTGGACACTACACTCAATCTGCGGCTCAGCGAGACACATACTCGATTTCCATTTCGGTAATACGATAATCGACGATTGGCAAAAGGAACTGTACCTGCCGAGGGCAGCCTCAAGATTCTCTAGACCAGAACCGGCGGAGACACGCATTCGGGCTTTCTGGCGAACCCTTGCCCGAGATTGTACTGCACCACCAAACATGCGTCGCTTGCAAAAATCTGAGATAGAGACCCTTGACACCAAGAACTCTGAGCTCCTTAAGAGTGGCTCTAATATCAAGACTTTACGGGGTGTTGATGACAGATATTCTGGTCTATCAAGCTTTCGATTCGATCCGCGAGACTACGCACCAGATTTATACTGTTCTTCACCGTTTCGAGACATTCCTCACCGCTTGACAGACTATACGTTCAATGTTTCGAAAAACGATCTCTTTATGATGGTTCGTCCGTACGCCCAAGAGGGAGACATCGTTGTGGTACTAGACGGTGGGAAGGTGCCTATGATCCTACGGGAGCAGTCGCCGCACCTCACAGAGAGAAGCCTCGGTAGCCTGCACCGGATTGTAGGCCCGGCATATGTTCATGGTTTTATAGATGGCGAAGTGGATGCAGCTGTCGCAGCCGGTTTACTCAAGAAGCAAAACCTTTTCATTTGTTGAAGAACGATCTTTAAACCACATCATATACAGAAAGGATGCTGTTGAAATACAGAACGCCCTCGCTAACAGCCTAAAAAAGTATTCTGGACATATAACATGCCTCTGTACATCCGATGAAACCCTGTGTGTTAAAACTATACCGCGGATTTTTCTAAATGCAAGCCTTCTGTAACACAGTAGCTTGACCTAACTTATCGACCCAGAGGATTACAAACACGACCTTAAACAGCTTATTGGTAGCCAAATCAAGTGTGATGGAGAGGCTGTTGTCAAGGTTACACCAAAAATGGTTGACGTTGTACACTAGATCAGAGAAGGTCCGAAAAGTCCCTTCGGTGCCAAGTCCTGGCATGGTCTTGCACCTGGCGCGAGTTACTTGTCCACGGCAAACATAAGCATATCCCTTGATGGCGTAAGACCGATAAACCCAAATGGCCACTAGTTCGCGATGCATTCCTTCCAGCTGGACCTGATTTTTCTGCGGTCTAACGAGAACGCTACTTCGCGATGTGGACACAGGCCTTCCACGAGTGGCAGTAGTCTATGGAGGCTGAAACAGTCGAATCGACTGCTCTCCGCGATTCGGG